ATAATAATAGGATAATATTTGAGTACTGCTTGTTCTATGTTCTATGTGAGTGCACAGTTACACTATACCTGTAGTCCGTGATGTATTTTATTTTGTTCTGGTTGTAAAGTCTCCAGAAACAAGAGAAAAAGCCCCTTTTTATTTTTAAAAGTCTCAATTTATTCTGGAGTTACCTGTTCTTGTACCCTTCTATCATCCTGTCTTTCTCCTGGAACTTCTCCAGAAGGTAGTTCTCCTTCTTCAGGGCTTCGTCTATTCGGGCCCTCTCCAGGACGACTTTAAATGTCCCTGGGACCCTGCAAAGGAGAGTTCTCCAGAGGGAGGGAGGGTCTTTCTTCACTCCGTTAACAAGGTATACAACAGTCACGTTAAGAACGGACGTAAAAGGGGGAGAAGGAAGCGTCTCCACGCACAGACTGTATCCCTTCGTCCTCGGGAACAGGACATTCTCTAGCACCGGGAGATTCTTCCTCCGAGAAAATTCAGCGGATTTTTCCCTTTTCTTCTCTGTGTATCGAGATCCCTCCGGGTACAGGATCAAAGAGACTGCTGAGTTTTGATTCTGGCACCATCTCCGCATTCTGGCACTGTCCTCCCTCCACGCCCTCTTTACAAAGAGATAGTTCGACAGGAGCATCCCCCAGCCCACGACAGGAATCCACCGGAGCCCACTCTTAGCCACGAAACGAGGACTTTTCCCGAGTCTATCAGAAACCATGAAGAGAAGCACCGTGTCAAACGAGCAAATGTGATTGCTCACCACGATAATAGACTCATTTTTTGAAAAAGTACCTGAATTTGCACCTGAAAATCCAACAATTTCAACAGCATGCGGATTCCCCGTGCGAGCCATCCACATGCACGCCCGCATGATAAGCCGACAGTATCCCCCCATTATCCCAGCAGCTAAATCCCGACTGAAAATTGCAACAGGAAAAATACCTATTTCCAGCAGGAGCATTCCCCCCATGAGAGGAAAAAGGAGAAAAAAGAGCCCAAAAACCCCGAGGGAGAACCCCCCAAAAGACTCCAGGCGAGACATGCCCGAAAGAAAAAAGAAAGAAAAAAGAAAAAAAAAAGAAAGAAAATTCTTCCAGGGAAAGTTGAAACTTGTCCCAGCTCCAGTGTTTGTTTGTTGGTGGATCCGGAGAAATAAAGGCAAAACACAGAAAAACAACACATGAAAAGAGAAGAAGCAGAGGAGATCAGAAGATCACGTGATGAGTCTGCTCCCAGAGGGGAAGATATTCCTGCTCGATCGAACAGTGGGAGAAGCACTTCTGGGCAGGTCTCTCCCCGGGAGGTCGAGTGCATTTTGGACTACTCGGAGATTGCGTATGAAGGGACTCCGTACGAAGAGCCTGAGGAGAGAGTTCGCCCGAGAGTGACTTGGGAGAGCTATCTCAGCAAGACTGCGGGGATGGTCGCACGGGGAGAGCTCCCAGCAGAGGCACTTCCCTGCACGCAAGAAAAGGCCCGGGAGGAGGAAAGCCCCGAGAAGAAGGCACGAGGGGAGAGCGAGGAGTTCGACCTGGACGATGAAGATGCAGAGAAGGAGAGAGGCAGACGAAGGGAGAGCAAAAACTCCCAGGAAGTCCCAGAAACACCCCCAGAGGAAGTTTCAGAGAAAGAGAAAGAGAAAGAGAAAGAGAAAGAGAAAGAGGAAGAGGAAGTTTTAGAGAAAGAGAAAGAGAAAGAAGAAGTTTCAGAGGAAGAAGCTCAAGTAGTTCCTTCAGTACCGAGAGAAGAAGTAAGTCAAACTGTAGAAGTACTTCCTTCAGTAAGTCACACAGTAGAAGAGTCTTCAAGAGTAGTACTTCCTTCAGTAGCAAATCACTCAGTAATTCCTTCAGTGACTCCTTCAGTAGTAAATCACTCAGTAAGTCACTCAGTGACTCCTTCTGTAGTAAATCCTTCAGTAGTACTTCCTTCTGTAGTAAATCCTTCAGTAAGTCACTCAGCAGTACTTCCTTCTGTAAATCACTCAGTAGTAATTCCTTCAGTGACTCCTTCAGTAGTAAGTCACTCAGCAGAACTTCCTTCAGCGACTCCTTCTGTAAATCACTCAGTGACTCCTTCAGCAGAACTTCCTGTGATGTTTTCCGTGGAGGCATCTCCTGCTCAGGATCACTCCGTGCCTGATGGAATCACTCCCTCTGATCTGTCGGGTATACCCTTAAAGAGAAGTACTTCCTTATATCAAATCGTAAAAAAGTCTCTTCAGGTTCTATTTTTTACTCCACTCCTTATCCTGAACCTGTATACTATGCTGAAATACGGCATATCCATGCACTTCCGCCTTGTAGAGTCTCTCTCCGGGGAAGTTTCTCCCTGGACTATCCACGTGATAAGCACTCTTCCTGCGGTACTCTCTGCTCTCGTGGGGGGATATACCCTCATAAGCATCTTCGCAGTATCTCCTGCAGGAGACGCAGAGAATATTCGGAGAGATCAGGGAAGATTCTCCCTCTTCGACACTCTCCACTTTACAATGGCAGTTCCCTTTTGCGTGGGTCTCTTCCTCCCCACGGCTGGACACTTCATTCAAGAGAAGCACGTCTTTATGGCAGGACATGTCTTCAGTGAAGTTCTCTGCATGGCGTACACTGTAACTGTAGCTAAAAGTGCGTATAGAAGACTCAACTCCATGAAAGTGTTGCAGGACTCTGTTTATTCTGTCATTATTACATCACTCCCCAGGATTCTAGTGGGGATTTTCCACGCACTGGAAGCATACGCGTTCAGGAGGTGTCTGGGGGTCCTGCTGGAGGCAGCAAAAGACCCCGCGGAGGCAGGACGGATCCTGCGCCTTCTCTCCGAGTCATCCCACGCCCTTGCAGAACAGGCCAAAACCTGGGGCACCCTCACGCAATAAATGCGCTAGAATTCAGACAGTTTCACGTTTCAGCGTATACTATGTATACTATTTCAAGAATACACTGTATTTCAAGCATTAGTTAGGCTAGCATATACTTATTACTAACTTAGGCTATTTCAAGCATTATTTATACTAGCATATACTTATTACTAACTTATACTATTTCAAGCAAACATTATTTAGGCTATTTCAAGCATTATTTAGGCTAACTTATACTTATACTAGCATATACTATTTCAATAGATCTAACTAGTTCTCAAAAACTTATACTATATTTCAACTGTTTCATCTATTGCATATACCAATACTAACATATACTAACATATACTTATTACTAACATATACTTATACTAAGACCAGCTTATACTAAGACTAGCTTATACTAACATATACTTATACTTATACTTATCCTATACATATACTTATACATAGGCATATACTTATACTATATGTTTGCTTTTAGTTTTTTCATCTATTGCATATATCCATATATCCATATACTTTCCTGTGTCCTATCTGAACCCGAATCCCCCGGAGGAGTCTCTTCTCGTCCTGCCCTCTCCCGCGTACTCGAACAGGTTCCAGAAGTTCAGGTTCTCATCCGCTGCGCACGTTGCAAGGACCTTTCCGTCCGGGGAGAGTGCTGAGTGCAGGACTCTATCCGTGTGTCCTGTCATACTCCCGATCTTCCGCATACTGCAGTACTTCCACACTGTAACGCTATTATCTAGGTATCCGTGCGTGCTGATTATTTCTTTGTACTTCTCGCTGAAGAGGATACTGCAGACCTGGGACCCTGTATCGACTCTATTTATGCATGCCCCCTTCTCTACGTCCCACGTCCTGATCGTTCTATCGTCCGTTCCTCCCCCCGTTGAGAGAATCCCCTTCTTCCACGGACACCATCCGACTGCTCTCACTGCTGCCGTGTGCTCTGTGAACTTGCTCCTGGGCCTGCTGCATCCGCTTCTCCATACGCAGACGTTATTATCGTTAGCCCCACTCGCTAAATACGTCCCATCTGCGTCCCACTTCAGCCCGCAAACCTCCTGCGAGTGCCCGAGGAAGCTGGAAACGTGCTCCCCCGCCCGTACGTCGTAGTTGAAGATGTTTCCGTCTTTTCCCCCCGCGGAGAGAATCCCACTCCCCCAGGAGAGGGAGGAAACGCGCAGGACTCTCTTCGGGAGGGAAAGAACCTTCTTATTCTGCGAGGCATCGAATATTTCCGTTGTTCCGTCGGAGGTTCCCACTGCGAGAAGACCCTCCCGGGAGAAGGAGAGGCCGGAGATGTGGTGATTCTCCGGGGCATCGACCAAATGGGAGACGGACTTCGTCCTTGCACTCCAAAGGTAAAGTTGCTCGCTCAGCCCGAGAGAAACGAGATCATCTCTGCTCCAGTCGAGAAGGTTCAGGTAATAGTCGTTCAAAATGGAGGGAGCATCCAAGACGCGGAAGGGACTCGCAGGAAGCGGCCTCTTTGAGACCCTCTCGATCCGAGACTCAATTTCCAGCGGACTCGTATACGCAGGAAGAGAAAACCCAAAATTTCCAGGGCTTTCCCCAATTCCGTATCTTTCTACAGTTTCTTTTTTTCTTTTGATTTTTGCGTATCTGGGCTCAGCGAGTCCATTCATGGCGATGTCCCAGAGATCATCTCCCCCTCGATGATCCATTGCAAAATAAAAAATAAACAAAGTTTATTCAGAATTTTCACGCGATGATAGAAGAGATGCTCGCAGGCGTGACAGCGTACACGGACGAAATGATCATGGACCTCCTGAACGAGGAGGAGAGCATGGAAACAGCAGTAGACGATCTCTGCAAAATATTCTCCGGAATAAGCCAGAGAAAACTCGTGCGGAGCGAGGAGAGTGTCGCCCTTCTGCGGAGCTACTTTGTGATGCTGATTCGAGAGCCTGCTCTTTTCGGGTTTGACTGCAGGAATGCAGTGGAGATCATGCACTCTTCCTCCAGGAGAAGCGGAATCTGCTGGACTCTCCTCCTCGACGAGAGCGAGGCTGCAGAGGAGATTCTCGCAGTCCTTCTCCACGCGAAGTCCGAGGAATTCGGGAGAGAAAGAGAGAAAAAAAGTCTCCAAGTCCTCGCCCTGCACGAGAGAATATCACAGAGCAAGGCCGCGCTGGGAGTCCTCCGACGGAGAGAGCCCTGGGGACTCCAAGAGCCCAGCGGAAGGTCTTTCTCCCCGTGGGTATACGATCAGTGCAAAAATTCGAAAGTCTTTTCTCCCTCGCAGGAGTCGTATCTCTACAGGGCTTCCCCAGAGTATCCCCGCGGAGTATCAGTGAATAACCTGTGCGTAGTCTATCAGGACTTCGTAGAAGCAAAAGATCGGGCAAAGACTCGGCGGGAGATGCACCGACTGATCAGCATAAGCGCAGCCCGTCTTTTTACGATGTTTCGAGACCTCGTTCTCCAGGATAAGAGCGTAAAGAGAAATTTCATAGAGTCTGTTTTTCTCCTGTACAGCACGAACAGAGTAAGAGAAAAAACAAAGTACAGGATAGAGGAAGCCCTAGAAGATAGTCGAGCCTTCACCGTATCCAACGTCCTGAGCAGGTTTCTTGCCCCCGTCCTGAACAGCCCCGAGAAAATGAAGGGAATTCCCCTCGACTTCCTGCAGAGGTGCTCCTTCCTCCGGGAGTTTACAGCGGAGAGTCTCTCCGGAGAAATTGCGCACGAGGGAGGAGATGCTGAGGACGGGGAGAGCTTTTTTACCCTTCTTTTCTACGCGAAGATGCTCGTAAACCGAATTACGTACGTCCCCCTCGTTTTGAGCGTGGGAAATCACATCGCAGAAATCCAGCAGATGCGAAGGGCAGAGGCTTCATCACAGGGCGAGCAGAGGGAGAGACTCAGAAAAATGCGGGGACTTCTCGAGTCGGAGTTCGAGTACGCGCAGACACTCCTTCTCGCAGAGGAAGCTGCTGCCCTGGAGAAGGCAGTTCTCGTCTATACCGTATCCTTCCTGCACAGCGCAATCAAAAACCAAAACTTTCAAAAACTTCCCCTTTTCATCCTCGAGAATGTTCTTCTCTCCCTCGAGAAACTGCAGCAGGTCGGGGGAGAGGGTCAATACGCCCTCAGTGCAGAGAGTATCCGGAAAGTATGCGCTCTCTCAGCGGAGGTCCTGAAGCACGAGACTCTGAACGTGAACTACAAGCAGGCAGCTCTGAAGCTTATGTGCACGTACTCAGAGAGTGTTGAGTACGTCGTTGGAGTCGTCTCTGCAGTTGTAAAGCACGGGATAGACGTGCAGAATAAGCTGCAGAATGCCCTGGAGAAGCTAGATGAAAGAGCCCGTGTCGCATACGCACTTTCCTGCCTCCTGAAGGGATTTATGGGGAGGCAGGAGATGCTCGAGATACTGCGCGGGGGAGAAGGGGGAGAATCAACACCCCCGGGAACTGTTTTTGTCATTCACATGCTCTCAGCCCTCACAGACGCACAGGAGAGGGGGTTTGAGGAGCTCAGGAAAATATCGAGGGAGGAGGGAATGGAGGGAATGGAGGGAGTGGAGGAAGATTCTGCGAGGGAGGAGTCTATCGCCCAGATGATGGAGCATATGAACTCTTTCTTCTCGCTTGTTGAGGTTTTGGAGGGAGTAATTGTCTCTCTCGTGGAGATATGCCCGAAGGTCTTTCTAGGGCCTTCGATCGTCCACAGATTTGCTTCTATGCTGAACGCGTCGATTATTTCTCTCGCAGGGAAGAAGTCGAAGGAGCTGAAACTGCGGGGGAAGGGGAGCAGATTCTCTGCAGTCGGTCTCCTGAAGGCACGGCTTATGATGTACACGCTCCTTCGGGATGTCGCATTTGCTGCTGCAGTTGCGGATGACGGGATGTTTAAGCCGGACCTTTTCAGGAGGACGATCGAAATATGCGAGAGAAAGGGGGGAATGACGCAGAGGGAGAAGTCGTACAGTCTGCTCTTCCTGAAGACGGTTGAGAACCTCCAGGAGAAGAGGAGGGAGTGCCTCCCCGTGGAGTACCCGGACGAGTTTGTGGATCCGCTCACGTTCGGGCTCATGAAGGACCCGGTGATCCTGAAGACGAGTAATACGCGCGTGGACAGATCGACTGCATCGATGATCCTGATGACGGATCCTAAGGACCCGTTCACGAGGGACGATCTCACGGAGGCGCAGGTCGTTGAGGATGCGGAGCTCAGGAGGAGGATCGAGGAGTTTTTGAGCAAGGCCAAGGAGGCAGCATAGCGTAAATACCCGCAGAGTTTGGCAGTATAATCAGTAAATACCCGCAGAGTTTTATTACAGTCTTGTGTTGTTATTCGGGTTATAGAGTATTCAAGTATTAAACATATTCAAGTGTTCCAGTGTTTTATTTAGAGTATTCAAGTATTTTCTTTGTGTGTTTTCTTTAGAGTTTATTCTATTCAAGTATTAAACATATTCCAGTATTTTCTTAGAGTATTCAAGTGTTTTATTCCAGTATTTTCTTTAGAGTATTTTCTTTAGAGTATTCCAGTGTTTTCTTTAGAGTATTCAAGTATTTTATTCTATTCAAGTATTAAACATATTCCAGTATTCTATTCCAGTACTTTATTCCAGTGCCTTGCCTTATTCCAGTGTTTTCTTTGAGTATTTAAGTATTTTATTCTGGGCTGTTTCTGTATTAAATTAAAATTCTTTCAATTCCGCACTGGAAGCTTTATAATGCGAGAGTACGATGTTTTTCTGGATACGAGAGAGAGTTCGGTGCTTTTCCAGTACCCGCTGTGCACAGAACTCCCGGAAGTAAAGAGTATACGGGGGAAGATGGACGACCTACACGCGGAAATACGCGCTGAAACGGGAGCAGGAGACGTGAGTTTTAAGTCCTCCACCTCCGAGACGATAAACAAGTACTATATCCTCTCTGTCTCTGGGCAGGAGCTATGCGGGGTCCCAGTGAAGAGAGTCCTGCAAATGAGGCCCTTTCTAGCGGATACTGAAGAGACCGTTAGAAAGACCGAGAAGAAGGAGACAAAAGTCTTCTCCATGAACGAGACGCAGGAAGAGCTTGAAAACAGAATGAAAAATCCAAATTACGTCGTAGAGAAGATGAAAAGCACGCCCTGGAGGGAGTACTCCATTCTCCCAGAGGAAGAGTACGCTCGAGGAGGGGAAGAGTCCTACACCCCCGCGAGGAACTGCCCGAATGCTCCTGAAGGAGTTTTTGGGAGACGGATAGAGGAGACTATATACAACGCCCGAGTAGTGAATATTCCGGAGCTAGTGAAGATATACCCTTTTCTTCCTCTGGGGGAAATAGGGAAAGTCCTCTCAGAGATGACTGTTCCCTTCCTGGGGAGACACGTACTGAAGGGGGAGTACTTTAACGACCTGGGAGGGATTCTCTCGTCTGTTCTAGGGCGGATGGAGGGAGACGGGACTTTCTCATTCACGAAGGAGGAACTAGTCAGTGAGCCAGAAGAGCTTATTTACGTGCTTAAGCAGATTGCCTTTAGAGACGGATGCGTATACAGGCTGAAAGGGTACTCGGAGGAGGACATAAACCGATCAGAAAGTGCCTGCACGGAATGAAATCAGTAAATGCCCGCAGAGTTTTATTACAGTATAGTGTTAGAGTGATGTTAGAGTATTGTGTTATTAGAGTGTTATAGTGATGTTATAGTATTATTATTAGAATGATGTTATAGTATAGTGTATTATTATAGTAGTATTGTATTATAGTAGTATAGTTTTATTACAGCATAGTATTAGAGTGATGTTAGAATGATGTTAGAGTGTTATAGAGTATTATAGTGTGTTATAGAGTATTATAGCAGTATAGTAGTATAGTATTATAGAGTATTATTATAGTATTACAGTATTACAGTATTCTAGCATTGTATTCCAGTATTCTAGCATTGTATTGTATTGTATTCCAGTATTGTATTGTATTCTAGTGATATAGCTTCTCCTGATACGCTTTTTGTGGATTTAATCACTCTTCTCTCAGAGGGTCCTACAGACTCGGGGAAAGACGGACTCCCCTTCTTTTCCTGCGCGGAACAACATACTCTCTTTTCAGAGCCCTTTTTTACGAGACATTTTCCCGTGTCTTCTCCCCGTGAATAAAAGCATTTCTCTGAAAATATTTTTTGTGCATGGACCCAGATACAAGCAGAAGCGACAGGCTTATGACCCTATACGAGCTGATGCTTAAGGCGGAGAAAAGACTCGACCACGCAATAACCCAGAAGAAGATGGCCGTAGAAGAGGCACACTTCAAAAAAATAAAGAAAGTTGCGACTGTCCGGATAAACATACTCCTGGAGAGAACCTCTGAGGATACGCTTTTCATCCTCATCGGGGGAAAAGTGAAGGAAGATCCGAGCGAGTATGCAGAAGGCACTGCTGAGATCAAGCCGATTGGATCTGTTCTGAATAGGCTCTTCGTAGAGCTATCGAGCACTCCCGGAGAGTCTTCTGGAGCACATGCGAAGCCTGCAGAGGGCTTGGAGAGTGCAGAGTCCGGGGAGGAAGGAAGAAATCGCGTGGAAATGGCCAATACGGGAGGAGACGCCTTCTTTGAGTGGCATAATAGAGCACCTCCTTCGAATGTCTCTGAGTTTGAGATAAAGACCTCAGAGAAGGCCTCCCACGGAAAAGTCTTTCTGAGCTTTATAAGCTACACGGGAGTATACGAAGTCTGTGCGGAGTTAGCGCAGGCGATTGGAATCTCTCGGGGGTCTCGGCCTGCGATACTTTTGGGGCTGTGGAAGTATATAACCGCCCAGAAGATGCGAGACCCTGGAAATCAAAAGATCATTTTTTGTAACGACATTTTTAAAAAAGTCTTTTCTCAGGAGCAAATCACCTTCACGGAAATCATCCAGAGACTCGACCAGTATCTCTCGCCTGTTGATATGGTAGCCTTTGACTTTCTGGTTCCAACGCAGGCAGGGAGTAAGACCAGAGTAGCGTACGATATAACGACAGAGTTGGACCCGCTGAATAAGGAATACGCGTACTCCAACGGAAACAAAATCTCGATACTCAACAGGAAGATAGAGGATATTCTCCTCCGCATAGAGAAGCAGAGCGAGAAGGTGGAGGCCCTCGAAAAGTTCATAGAGAACCCGCGGGAGTACATCACGAACTGGCTCCAGGAGAGCTCCAAGGAGCTGCACCTCATTGCGGACGACTTGTTCGACGTAAACGACGGATTCTACACCCAGAAGGAGATCCAGGAGAGCGTATACCAGCTGCTGCAGAACTACAAGTAGGCTACGTGCTCTTAATAGTAAATAGCCCACAGAACACAGCCAGCAATGCAAAG